ACTTATTTTTATACTTGCATAGTCACATATATCATGAGAATGCAGAATATGGCAGTACAAGAAAAGTGGATGCGAAGAGCGACATCTACAGCTTTGGCGTAGTTCTCTTGGAATTGACAACTGGAAGAGAAGCCGTGCCTGCAAATGAGGATATGAACCTGGCACAATGGGCACACAAACACCAAAGAGAAGGGAACTCAGCTGCAGATGCCCTAGATGAGGAGATCAAGGACCCACGTTATCTGGAGGCAATGATCGCTGTTTTCAAATTAGGCCTTGCATGCACTTTGAATTCCCCATCAAGCAGGCCGTCCATGAAAGATATTTCACAGATTCTTCAAAGATACAGCGAAAACACTCATCTGTCTTTAGAGAACCAATAGACAATATAATATTTCCACTTTACTTTTGAATGCAAAATATTTTGCAATGGTTTGTTTAGTTTAATTTCACTATTGCACTCACAGTGCAGTTATGCTGGATCCTTTATAATTCATAATGCAACTCCACTTTTTTTCCTTGATTTTCTTAGATGTTAAAGTGATAAATAAACTTTCTGGAGCTCAATAGTAATTGCATTATTGAAATTCCAAAATTAATAATATTCACAGGAATTGAAACATGCATGCAACTTAAGAGTGAATTCTATTTTCGGTCCTACTGTTATAGGGCGTTTCCAATTTTAGTCCACCTTAATTTTTTTTTGCCACTTTATAACCACTATTATTGAATGTGTTCCACTTTTAGTCCCACTGTTAGTATTTCCATCAAGAGGCCGTGTAATCTAGGGGTATTTTGACATTTCTTCTCATCCAAGACTATGTTTGACTAAAGAAATGAGAACATTAAACCTAAAACCTAAGAAACCTCGCCGGCCCATGTTGGAACGAACAAAACAATGTAGGTTTGGCTTCCTATTCTCGTTGTTCGAAGAGCCATCTTCGAATATCGGAGGAGGAGGACGAAGTGCCTGGATTAAAAGAGAAGAGACAAACATAAAAAGACCAAAATACCCTTTGATTATACGGCCTCTTGACGAAAATATTAACGGTAGACTAAAAGTGGAACACATTCAATAACAGTGGTTGTAAAGTGGCAAAAAAAATTAAAGTGGACTGAAATTGGAAACGCCCCTATAACACTAGGACCAAAAATGGAATTCACTCTGCAACTTAACTATTTGGAGGAATTAATGAAGCATGTTTACCAGTTCACAGGCCTCGCTTGCGTCTTCAAGCTCGTACGATCAATTATATACACCATGATTGCATCAAGATATCAACTCTAGCAACATACTCTTAAAGTCCCAGAGTTTGAATTCAATACTAAGATTGCAGATTTTGCAAGGTGGACACAGTTCTAAAACTATTCATAATTATGAATATAAGTTCAAAAATTATGAACATATAGTTCTATACTTATGAACATAGAATTGTGAACATAATTATGAACATATAGTTCTGCAATTATGACTATAGAGATTCAATAATTGTGAATATGAAGTTCAAAAATTATGAATATATAGCTTTATAATTATGAACATATAGTTCAGTAATTGTGAATATAGAGTTGAATAATTATGAATATGAAATTCAAAAATATGAATATATACCTTTATAATTATGAACATATAATTCAATAATTATGAACATAGAACATTGTATACTTTGCAAGGCGGTTTCACAGCATAACGATTGATTGAAGTAAACGCCGGGTCATTAACTCAATTCTAGGTATTCTGGTCCAAATATGTTACACTAAAAGAAAAGTATTTAAATTGAATTTTGGTTTAGAAATCCGTTAGCAGAGTATGTAGACTCCAAGTCCAAGTCCACCCAACGTAATTTATGGTTCAAATCGAGCAATACACCAATCAAGTCATTCTCATAGTCAGGACTAATTTTTGAGGGACAAATTATAAACAAGAACACGAATTATAATTGAATTTTAAATACTTTGTACTTAAGTAGAAGATTTTTTTTATTTTTTTATTTGGTAGCAAATTATATTGCCATCAAATTAATTAATTAATTAATAATAAATAAATATATATATAAAAATATATAATACACGCACATATGTGAGTGTGTGTATTAGTTATTTTGACAAGTTATTTCCTCTCGCTTCTTTGGCGACTTATTCTCTCTCATTTCTTTGGCAAGTTCTTTTTTCATTAATGTGAAACGATTTAATTTATCAAGGCGTATGTTTATCTCATCTTGAGCAACGAACAAGATCTGAACCATGATATGCAGTTCAGATTAATAAAGATATTGTCTACGGACAGATGAGCTGCAATAGTTACTCAGGTGGTATGCAAGACTTCTCAAATAGAGTCAGTGTTGGATAGCCAGATCATTAACAACATCAAAGAAGCTTCAAGTTACTCCATTGAATTCAGCTTCAATTTTGTAACACAGTTTGCGATTCAAGTTTCTTTTAGCATTGCTAGGAAAGTTGTTTCTATGTTTGACTGTAAAGAATGTTTTATCATTTTATCGATTTTTATTGTAACTGTTTCAACTTATGATTAATGAATTAGTTCTTTATTTTCAAAAATAAAAAATAAAAAAGAATGATTTCTTTTATTTTTTTCTTCATCATTTTTTATTCCATTGTTCAAAAGTAAGGGAACAAAAATGGTAGTGAGTTTTAAGATTTATGAACGATTTCAATTCAATAGTAGTATAAGAAGAGTAGTCCTCATAGGGAGTCCAAATGAGATGATTCAAGTGTCAAAGGAAAGATAAGGAAGTCCTCAACAACTTTAATATTGAACATTTTGAGAGATTCCGGATGCATTCATACCAGAATATCATAACATTCAATTCGGACACGTCCTGAGGAATTTGTCTTGCAACAAGTTGATAGTGTTTTGATCATATCTCCTTAATATAAAGTCCAATCAAGGTGATTCAAGTGACTATGGAAAGCTAAGAGAGTGTCCTGCAACTTTTATGTTCAAAGTTTTTTCATATTCGGAACAAAACAATACCAAACTTGATTGCCTAGTTGTATTTCCAGTTTGTTTGGTGATTTAATATAAATTCTGTTCTTTGGTTTTAAGGAAAAAAAAAAAAAAAAAAAAAAAAAACATAGCCAAAAATTAGACTCTGTTTAAATTTTCAAATATGGAATAATCAAATCATTCAAATGTGGCAGCTGTCCAAAGTCGGAGTTGGAGTAGGGAGGGCAGTATGATTGGTTGAAGCAAATCCTAAGGCTCATGTTCTCGACGGTCTAACACTTCTCCATATTCATTCATCTAATATTATATAACATCTATACAAAACTAATAAATAAATAAAATAAAGAAAAAAAAAACCCCAATGAAGAATCCAAAATTAAAAATTTTAATCTCCCAAAAAAGAAATTGTGAAAATACATTATTGTTTTTAATTGTGAGTTTAATGAAACTATCTACCACTAACTTGTTCAAAAACTCTCAAGTCAAAGTTGGACTTTGGACAGTAAACTTCTTTGATATACAAGAACATAATAGACGAGAGCAATTGCTAGCTCCTTCGATCCTCACCATCTTATTATTATTAGCTGAAAATGGTGGTGCACCACCCTATTCATCATGCCTTCTTCTTCTTCATGCTCCTTTTCTCCTTCCCAAATTATTCACAATCTTTAACCACTCATGGGGACGATGAAAGGGCTATTTTACTTATCCTAAAACAACACTGGGGGTATCCATTTTCACTATTTGAGCAGTGGAACTCCATTTCCTCCCCATGTGACTGGCCTGGAATTTCATGCAACTTCAATGCAAGTGTCACACGGATATCTCTCTCTGGAATGAGCATCCCAGGATCATTCCCGGCCTCAACTATTATATGCCAGCTCAACAACCTTGTTTCAATCAATTTCAGTTCAATAGTCTCTGGGGAACTATACCAGCTAACCTCTCCAGCTGCTCAAAGCTTGAAACCTTGGATCTATCCACAAATCATTTGGCAGGAAAAATAGCAGGTGAGTTGTTTTCCATGAAAACCCTGCGTAGTTTAAATCTTCAACACAACATGTTTTCCGGTGAGATATCAACACCCATGGTGGCTTATAGTTTGGAGTCTCTTGATCTTTCAAGTAACCATTTGAATGGATCAATACCAGATGATATAGGAAATTTTTACAACCTTAGCTACTTAAATTTGTCCATGAATACTTTGAGTGGTCCAATACCTGCTACATTGTTGCGGTTGCATCAACTCTCTCATCTTTCACTTGCCTCAAACAATTTGACTGGTGAAATTCCTGCTAGATTATTTGACTTGCTTAGTCTGAGTAGCATAGATCTTTCTCATAATCATCTGAGTGGAAGTATTCCAAGAGGCTTTGGAGAACTACATCAATTGCAGAATATTGATGTATCATATAACAAATTTTCCGGAGACATATGTGAATCTGTTAGCCATATGTGGGATGCGAGACTAACCCTTAGGATGTGCAAGAACCACTTTTCTGGGAGAATACCTTACGAGCTAGTAAAGCTAAAATTTGTGGACACATGCCTTGATCATGTGAATTTATGTTCAGAACAGCTGTTTTCTAGCTCTGAACAAATGGTTATGGAACTCCCAACATGCCCTTCCCAAAGCTTTTCGGGATTATACAATTCCACTGCCACATAAACTGCAGAAGTTCCAATGAGCTAAGTAAATCAAACAAAACCCAACCTTCGAAACCAAATCATACGAGGATTGTAACTTGTGTCGTGATTGCAGCGGCAGTAGTACTCATCATTGGGATAGGAATTCTGATACTGGTGTTCAGACCTAGGGTGGGAAGGAGAAAACAAAGTGATGGAGAAGAATGGAGTATGATTTCATTTCAAAGGTTGGAATTCAATAAATGGGATATTTTGGAGTGGTTTGATAGATGAAAATTTGATTGGAAATGGAGGGTCAGGAAAAGTATATAGAGTGATTACCAAGAAAGGCCAAAGAGTTGCTGTTAAAAGTATAAGGCATGAACAAAAGCAAGGGCATGGATTAATGGAGAAACAGTTCATAGCAGAGGTTAAGATCCTTGGGGGAATTTGGCACAACAACATAGTGAAATTGCTATGCTGCATCAGAGGAAAGACGACAAAGCTTCTTGTGTATGAATACATGGACAAACAATGCCTTCATAAATGGTTGCATGGAAAGAAGAAAGGCTTAACTACTCAAGTCTTGAACTGGGAGACAAGACTAAAAATTGCCATTGGAGCTGCACAAGGCCTCTGCTATATGCATCATGATTGCAGTCCACCCATTGTTCATCGAGATATCAAATCCAGTAACATACTCGTCGACTCTGACTTCAATGTCAAGATTGCAGACTTTGGACTGGCAAAGATGATGGCGAGTGAAGGAGATCCAGAAACAGCATCTGCTATTGTGGGAACCTTTGGTTACATTGCCCGGGTACATTTTTTTTATATCTTCATCACTTCAATTCCCACTGCTTTTTATACCTGCAGAATCACATATATCATGGGAATGCAGAATACAGCAGAACAAGAAAAGTGGACGCGAAGAGCGACATCTACAGTTTTGGCGTAGTACTCTCGGAATTGACAACGGAAGAGAAGCAGCTGACAGGAAATGAGGATATGAACCTGGCACAAT